CCCCAGAGCAGTGACACTGATCTGATGAAATGTTGCACTCATTTACAGGGCAAAGAAGTGATCCAATATTACATAGATGAGTTAATGAGTGAAGGGATTACATATCTGCCTCCGTTTGAAAATTCACATGGGCGACCAAGAACAAAGAGTGCATCAGAAGCGCTGGTGGCAAATCCTGAGCAAACTGAAGAGGATGGCAATGCGCTTCCTATCGCTAGTTCTGCAATAGAGGTGGCAGATGTGGAAACCTTGGGTGCCCGATCAGGTAAGTATATGATGATACATGCATTTTGTTAGTACAGGCTGTCCACAAAGTTCCTATAGTGGAAACAAAGACAACTTTTTATCATATTTTTTTCTTCTCTGAATCCTAGATTATAAGCTTGATGATGACTATATCCAAAGATTTCTTGGCAAACTTAGCCCAAAAGAAGAAAATCAGCTTATTAAGGTCAGTGCATGGCAATACACTTTGATGTGCTAATAAGGTCTTAGATGTTTGGATTGCAAATGTTTCAGACTAAGTGGGGTTATAAAATTTAACTGTCAGGGTACTCAATGTTTTACCATGATGTCTCAATGTATCTATTGAAAAGGTTCTTTTCTTACTCTGTATCGCTTTTTTGTGGCGATTTTACATCTTAGAGTCACAATAATTTCACGGAGTTGTCTTGCAGCACCTACCGGTATTTGTGTCATGGTTCTGGGCTTATATAACTAGAGACAAAGTAAAACCTAGTGGCTGAGTGGTTAACATCTCACACTTGAGATCTGTACATCCATGTTGATGCCTTTACCAATGGTGTGCCCTCAGACAAAATTTTTAATATTAACTTTTGCTCCAAATGTTGGGCCTTGCAATGGACTAACATCCCATCTGAGGGGGAAGGGAGAGAACACTGTAGCATTACCCCTGGTTACTTCATGCTATTGAGACTGGTTTAACCTTTGTGGGCCTCAAGGCTTAACGGTACTTTAACCTTACCTTAACCTTAACTTGAGCTCACATTGTTTCGTAAAGTCTTGAATGGACAGAATGAGTTCTCAAGGCTTGTGTATGGTGAGGTCCAGTCTCTTTCCGTTTTTCATTTACCACCTCTTTTTCCATGTTCAAAAATATGATGTGAAGTTAGATCCTTGAGTGCAGTTTTCCAGTCGTACTAGTGCATTATAATATTGAAATTTTTGTTAATGACTTTGGTTTGTTTAATATTCTTTATTAACAGCTGCGCAAGAAACTCAGTGCCACACATCAGGGGAAGGTATTTATTATTCACTATTATTATGACTATTATTTAAAAAACAGAAGAAAGCTACCACCACATGGAATAACTTAAAATAATAATTTTGATTCCTTTCTTTTTTATTAGATGCCAAATGATGCTCATCTTTTAAGATTTCTCAGAGCACGGGACTTTAATTTAGACAAGGTATTGTAGATTCTTGATTGTTACAACTCATTCTTGATACTCGGTTCCTGTGAGACTCATCAATCCAGAACGGCCTTTGTTTAGTTTCAAGTAATTTGCTCTCAGCTCTCGATACTTAAGTAAAACAGTCAGCTTTTTGTTCAAAATCGACGTAGCGTAGCTTAAGAGTCTCACACGCACGAAGCCCTCAAGCCTTACACTCCCAAAGGGCGTGTCCCTAGTCTTGATCCCCATTTTCAGCCTCACTCTGAACAATGCAGTTGAAGCTTAGTTATCCATTTATTGTTTATCAATACAGTCTTACGAAATGTTGTGTGAGTCATTGGCATGGAGAAGGCATCACAATATTGACAAAATACACGAGATCTGGCAGCCTCCAGATCCACTTCTCAACTACTACTGTGGAGGGTGGCATAACACAGACAAAGGTAACAGTTTTATGCACTGTAACTTGAAAATAAATGATCGATATCCAGTCTTGTTACAGTAGATGGCCCTAATTTTTACATCTGCGAATGAAATCCAGTGGTGTACCATTCATACAGAACCTCTTTGACAGCACATCCTCATAGAACTATTTATTTCTGAGCATTTAAGTGCAAATTGAAATTTAGAAGTGTTTTGTTGAGTTTTAACTTTGGCCTCTTTTGGGAGGGTTTAGATGAAGTAAAAATAAGTGACTGAGTGTTTTCCTTTCTTTAAGCATGAGAACCTAAATATCATTAACCTTGAATGGGAAAACAAGAAGTTTGTCTGTTCAGTAAACATAATGCTTAAATATAAACTCAGTTTGCTGGAACAAAGCTTATAAAGTTACTAGATCAAGCTGAAAAGGACTGGAATACAAGATGGTTTTTCTTTAAGATTAAGACTAGTGCCATCATTATTGACTTGTTGGTATTTTTTCTTTGTTATAGAGGGGCGACCATTGTACATCCTTCGGCTGGGCTGTATGGATGTCAAAGGACTGTTGAAGGCTGTAGGGGAAGATGGATTTCTAAAACATGTAAGTAGAGTGTTCACTGGTAAACTTGTGGACTGTGACTGGTCGTCAAATCAAGACCAGCATTTAGCTGCATTTAAATTTAGTAGCAATTTAAAGAGACTTCCTCAATTTGCACTTTGATTAATACTTGAAAGAAGGGGCAAATTCTGAAACTTCATTCTGGAATGTTTATAAACTTTCCACAGTGTATTCTAAACGATCAAGCCACAGACAACAAGATACATGAAAGTTTATTATATTATGTTGCTTATTCCTTCCACAATTTAATGATAGTTTTGTTGTCTCAACAGTATAAAGAAATTTATAATTTCCCCATTTCTGGAGTTTATAGTAGTTTTTGTTACATTAAAAGGTTGCGTTGGAGTGACAGTCTTGCTTTGTTGTGTCATTGAACATTGACTTCACAATGCTGTCTCTTTCAAGGTTGTTTCCATCAATGAGGAAGGTCTCAAAATGACTGAAGGACTCACCAAAAACACAGGACATCCTGTTAGGTATGCACAAATTCTTTATTATTAAGTTTCGTATAGTCAATAACTATACTATGGGTGAAAAATAGGGAATTACAATCAACTCTCTCTCTCCAAGATGGATGCCTTTGGTACCTACATGAAGCATATGTCTAAGAGTGATGTCCATCTTTTAGAGTGTCAAATAAAGGGTGATAAAAGAAAGGCAAGAACCCACTCAAAGTGTCGGTTTTACTGAGGTGTCCATCTTATAGATCAAGGTGTTTTTTTCAGATAAATAGAGTTCACTATTTTTGAATAAGTCACACCACTTTTACCTTTGCTGCTTTGATTTTGATGATATCACATGGAAGTACTTGTGTCTTTTCAGTTCATGGACTTGTGTTTGTGATCTGGAGGGCTTAAGTATGAGGCATCTTTGGAGGCCTGGTAAGTGAACCCATCCAACGTTGTATTTTTCTAGCTGTTATGGGATCCAACATCCCTTGCTATTCAGCATGTTTCAAGGTATGTACATTTTACTGGCAGTATTTCCAAGGTGCGTGATCATCATCATACTTTGGCTCCAGAGCAGCTGACCACAAGTTTCCTCCATCGATGGCGGCGTTGAGCTATTTCCAACAGCTGATTGTTAATTAGCAAGCTATCAGGATCCTCTAGAAGACAATGAATTGATGAACAAGGTTCACTGTCTTCCAGATTTTCTCCTCCCATGAGTGGGAACATACATTGCAAATTCTCTGACAAGCATATTTTCAGGCTAGCAGAGCACATGACCAGGCAAACTCATTTGCTGAAGCCTGACTCTTTCAATAAAGGGAACTGTTTCTGTGAGGCTGTAGACAGTAGTATTTGGTATTCTGTCAATTTGCCCGATGTTTAACATAATTCAATAACAGGACCTGCCCAAAGAATTGATTTTGTTCTCCATTTCCTTAGAGAAGACATACCACCATTTAACCTTGGAAATTTGTTGCTTTAGGCATCAAGGCATTACTAAAGGTGATAGAGGTTGTTGAGTGTAATTACCCAGAGACAATGGGCAGACTGCTGATTGTCCGTGCACCCAGAGTTTTTGGTGTTCTGTGGACACTGGTTAGTCCCTTCATTGATGAAAACACAAGAAACAAGTTTCTTATCTATGGTGGAAATGATTATCAGGTATTACTTGTTTTGTTTGTCATTCTTTTTTTATAAAAATAGTGGATTTCACAATATTTTATTGTTGTGATGAAGTTGAGTACTTGCAGTGCTCAAAGTAATGGCCAGTCATCGGACAATGTTCGGCCTGAATGGCAACTTGACCAGCCAAAAAATTCACTCGCCGGTCATGTTGACAAGTCACACCTACTCCCATCCTTGAACAAACAACCAAATCCTCACCTGTAAATCTTAGATTTGTCTCTTTGTAACATACAATCATGTTCATGAATTGAAAATTACACAAGGATAAGTTAACTTCTTTCCCGATATTTTGACCAGTCAGAATTGAGACTTGACTGAGCAAACTTTCTTTGCCGTTACAAAAATTATTAAAATAGCCCTGACTTGTAAGCATTTATTATTCCAATACTGTCAACAGTTACTTGTAGTTGTATCAGTTTCACTTTTACCTGATGTGTTGGTTTGATTACATACTTGTAATGTTTTATTCCTCATTGCAGGATCCTGGTGGCCTGACAGACTACATTGCAGCAGAATACATTCCAGATTTTTTAGGGGGTCCATATGAGGTAATTAAAGCAATGAGATACTCAGTCAAGCTTCCATGAACAGTAACAAGAAGTTCTAAGTAAAGTCTGCCTGCATCTACACACTTAGAAGCTGTATCAATCTCCTTTTTGTCTCAGTCAGATAACTTCATTTTCAGCCTTGTGCACAGTATATATAAAGCATTGTCCATCTCTAGCTAGACATCAGAACTGCTCAACTCCATCAGACCACTGATCAGACCACATTGTGGAGCAATGATTTGAAACTCTATGACTTAAAAATTTGTAGAGGAAATCCTATGGTGTTACCATTCGAATAAAAACACTTTGGCGGAACTTTAATTTGTCAGTGGATTTTTTATTTCGCCACTATTTCATTGAAACAGTTTTACATATACCATTTTGCTTCTTTTCTAGTGCAACATCAAGGAGGGCGGTCTTGTCCCAAAATCACTTTACAGATCACTAGAGNAAAGGTGATGTCCAATTCACAGTGTTTAGGCACAAGCGTCCACGTGAAGCAATCAGTAGCAACAGCTTGTCAAGTTTTGGAAGTGATGCATCCATCAACCAGTCTGGAGTTATTGCTGGAGTTGATGCGATGGTCGTTGAAAAACCGAGGCATTGTGTTGATGGTGAATCAATACAGGTATGTTCTTATAAAGGGCTTCCAAGAGGGGTATACTATCACTTTGTCATTCATTTCTGAAACTGCAAGTTGCCTGGTAGGTAAGGAAAAACATGATGTTGCTGTTGCATTTAAGCTGGGATGAAAATGTTGCTATCAGTTCAGCATAAATTTTTGTTATGCCCAATTTGGAATTTATGACAGATATAGCGCTTAAAAGAATTAATTGTTATTTTAATAACAAATTATTAATTCAATAATTTAAAGTTAATCCTCGAGGGAGCATTACCATAATTAGAAATGTTCCAAAGAAAATAACATAAAATATTTGGAAATAACTACATGTAGCCTGCAAACACAGACATGTTTCTTGTCATCTCATCTCTCCACATGAAAAGTAAGCCACTGTTCATGTAGAGAGAAATGTTGACCAGAAATACCCCTGTGTTTGTAGGCAAGAGTTTGTTGTATCGCTGCTGAACTAGCCAAAGTGCAAAAGGGAAATGATGTTACTTTCACTACTTAGAAAAGGAATTGTTGCTGTTACATTTCTTTCCTCCTTTTCTGTTGATTGTTGGTGCTTTTTGAGAGGATTGTCGCCATTTTTCAGGGCCATGTTGCCTGTCGCTTCTACCCTTTGGAAGGCTTCACTAATATACAGTCTAACATCTTCTAACAAAGAACCATCTGGTATGGGTACCTCTAATGCAGACATCATCTGGAGATATTTTAGAAAATTAAAAAAGATGGGGCTGTAAGTTGTAAAGGGTGTTTCCCCACCCTTTCCCCTCCCACCTCCCTTAGGAAAAAATTTTGATTCATCTATTTATGTTTAATTTATTGTCTTTACTAGGGAACTCATGTCTGTTCCATTCCTGGTGTATATGTGCTACAGTGGAAGTACAAATCAGGTGCCCCTACTGGTCAAGCACATGGCCGTCATACCAGAGCCAAGGTTATGT